ATGGATAATGTCCGAAAACTTAATAACTGTATTATGAAAAAATATGGAGAACAACATTAGAGCATCTTGCATTGTTCTTCCTAACAGAAACTGAATTAATTCAAGGCATATCACCATTTTATGGAAATTCAGCACATAGGAAGGTGGCTCAGAATCCTGCCCACAACATTCATCAATCCAAAAGTCTCAAGGACACACAGGAGAAAAATAAGATTAACTCTTTTCAGCCAAAATAATTCCACATGTTAGTCTCTATTATTTCAAGTTGATCTAAATTTTGTATACCTTTTTTCAAACAACAAAAATTTTGCTTTTCTAGTTGTTCCATAATTTAAGTCTTGTCAGTTTGTGGCAAAGATGTAAAGATTTCTATGTCTGTTATGATTCTGTTCCTTGATTTTTGTTTCCTGGCACTTACATGTTGAGTTTGATCTGTAACCTTGGAATTAAAGCCAAATTCTGAACAAAAATCTTCCCAAATCCTGCTTACAGAAAACATCAGATTATGATTACCGTTGTTAGCAGACACATTTTCATAGATCACAGAAGGCACAATAGAGAACTGTGGTCACGGTGCAAGGGCCAAGAAGGCCCACCCCTTATACATTCATTCATACATCACAACAGTTACATTTCACTTCGCCAGGCATGTGTATGCAAGTTTTTAAAATTAATGTTCTTCTGCGCATCAGATTTGTGTTTTCTTTCCTTTCTTATTTGCATCTGTTAAATACATATGTATTGTTTAATAGCTCCATAATAATGACACTGCCTTTGCAAACAAATATATGGTTCATTATTTTAGAAGATAGTGTTTTATCTGAGTATGTGTAAAATTGAAAGGATCCTAAGGTGGGATTGTAATATTTTATATCACTATTGATTTTAATATGATTATTATTCCTCCATTAAGTCACAACTTAAATCTGTTTGTAATATAATTATGCAAGTGATGCATAGATAATCGTGGTGTTACTTCACATGTGATAGGTCATCTAATTCCAGCAATGAGATCTACTTAGTGGTGTTTGAAATTCTGTATGAGTAATTATGTAACAGTTATAATCAGATGTAAGTAAAAGTTGTGATCAGTATCCTGCTTGGAAGTAGTACTTAATTTAAGGGCTGTCAGATCTGTCTTGTAATTAGGTTTTAATTAACAGCAATGGTTCATTGGAGTGCTGGATAGCCTGAAATTCTTGATGCTGCTAATTCTGAATATTAATTTATAGAATGCAATTTTTTGTAAGATATTTTCATATTTCTGAATATCCATGTATAAAATGAAATGGATTTTTAAGAATTTCTTATATTCATTACAGTTTTTTTTTTCTTCGCACTACAGCCCCAGTGGGCCTAGGCCTACCTCCATGAACTTCTCCATTCACTTCGGTCTTTCTAGATCTTACACATTCGTTAGGACTCCTTGGCCGGGTGATCAGCTCGTTGCAAGGCCTCTACCTGTACACAAACACAAAAAAACACACTCACAAACAAAACATCCATGCCCTGAGTGGGATTCGAACCCACGATCCCAGTTTCCAAGCGAGCGAAGACAGTACATGCCTTAGACCGCTCAGCTACCATGACCGGCCATTACACAGTTTAGTATGGTAAAAAGGTGAAGTTGTCCCTGTTCTTAACAAATTAAGCACTACTCCATGAAGGTGTATGGGGGAGTGGATGTATAGATCCACATTTTCTTGACCTCAGCACTAGCTGGAGGTGAGTAGTCAGGAGGATAGGAGGTTGGATGGACCCCAGAGCAGGTCTGGGCGACTTGGAGAAGAGAAAATTCTTGTCCCTACTGGGACTTGAACTCTGACCCCTCAGTCATCCAGCCTGTAACCAGGTGCTATACCGACTATGCTATCCTGTCTCCTCTGTATAGTATGAAAATACATAAATTTAGAAATCTCTGCATTTTCTAAAACATGTAGCATTCTGTGGAAAGGGGTGCAAATGAGTTGTATTCTGAGTTTTTGTTTGTCATTTTAAAATCTCCTAAATTACCTTATATTAAATGCTAAATTAATTTTATAAATGTAAGTTGTTTAAACAGATTTACAGTGAGAAAACTGCCAATGATTGCTTCGTGGGACTTAGTACAGTGTACTTCAAGTTTCCAGCTGTATTGTATGTAGAATTGATAGAAATGTATGTATTCAAAATCATTCAAATGTAGACAATAAAGAAATACGAGTACAGTGTTTTGAGCACGCATGCTTTTATGGAACTTGTACAAATATGAATGGATCATGTCTAAGTAGACCACCTTTCAGTTTGTTTCTATCGCATGTATAAAATCAAAAAAACAGTTATTTGAAATCTGATATTAAAATATATGGAAACAAAAATGTATATTTTGCACCATTAAAATAATTTCTTAATTTCATTATGCCTTACTTTATTTAACACTACAATATTGAACCCAGTATTCTCCGTCTGTGTTCTTGTATCTGAAGTGTTTTGCCTTCCTGCCTTGCATAGCTTTAACCATTCAGGCTACAATGTTTCCAGCCCCAAAGTTCATATACCATTTTCTTTGAAAACTGTCTCAATTGTGAGTACCAACATAAATATAAGCCATACAAAGAGTGCCTTAATATCCAGGAACTGCAGTACCAGATTCACAATTCTTAAGTTAGTAAAGAAAATTGCTGTTTTTATTGGGATCTGAGGTTCTTACAGCAGTGGTTATGAAGAGTTCTGTCTTCTGGAACACAATGCCATGCAGCCTGTTGAAAGTCAACCAATGCTTCAAAGGAATATGTTGCCTCCATCTTCAGGCACTTGCCACCTGGTTTAACACTGATTTCTTTCTTGGCTTTTTGTTTTACTGTGAGGGTGAAGGCAACATGTTCCTCCAAAGTGTAGGTTGACTTTCAACAGATTACACAGCATTGTTTGTATTCCACATGATTTATTACTTTATTTTATTTTTTGAAGAATGTGTTACTTTAGTACATCTTCTGTCTACATAAAACTTGTCAGAACTGTACTCAATGGGACACATGAGTAGTTTTCTGGTTCCATAAAGTGTCCCAGGTAGAAAATATTATTATTAGAGGGGGTGGGTTTCCCCATGCACTCATGCACTTAGACCAGATATTGGTCCATTGCGAGTCCCCCTTTAATTTCTACTGTCCCCATACCCTACCGGTAATGGTGCATGCTATCAGCCCCGTTCAGCCAACAAGGTCGGCTGTCGGTACCTGATATTTCCCCCCATCTACCATAGGCATTGGAGACTACTTGGGCGGGAAATTGTTGCCTAATAATTTTGCTCAGAGGTCTCCTAGAGACATGAGGATCTTTTACGTGCCGTAAATCTACGACACGGGACCCACGGCTTAAAGTCCCTCATGGAGGACTTGTTCCCTTAATTTTTCCGCCCTTAAAAATTCCACGACCTCCGCCAGGTTTGAACCCGCGTACCTTGAGTCATGAGGTGGGAGGCTGCTTTAAAAAATCTCAAGTTAGCTGAGGTGTCACAGTCACATGGGTCTCTGTTCATTCAATCCCTGAGGGCCTCTTTGGCAGCTGATTGGTAATTTCATTGCCCTCAATTCCCTTGTGACCTAGCACCCATACCAGTTGAGCTGCCTTTATGTTCAGCCAGTTTCACAAGGGACTGATCGCAGTCTCAAATCAGTTTAGAATTGATATGATAATTTTCTACCTTTATAGTCCCTATTCATATTCTCAACTGAACATGCCTTAATGGCATACACTTGTACCTGGAATACCATCTCACCTTAGTGTATCTTTGTTTATCTTGGAACTATCCTACAATCACATCTCACAATGAGGCAGAAGGGGGTCCATTGCATGAGTATAAAAATATTTAACAGTCTGACTGATTATTTAACTGATTTAGTACATGATAAAAAACAGTTTATAAAAGAAATAAGGGATGTCCTAATACCTAAACCGTCGTATACTGTTGATGAATTTTTGCTCTTCTGTCGGGATCAACAGCTAAGGAATAGAAGGGGAGTGCATGCTGACTGATGGATGTCCCACAGTAGGCATTAATATAGACATTAAGTGTAAATATAATTTGTATTTTACGTATTTATTTAGATGCACATTGTTTGCATTTATGTTTGTCTGTTATTTTGATATGGCATTTTTGAATTCTAAAGATGTATTGTTGTTTGTAAAGCTGGTGACATGTTTCATATTCAGTGCAGATTGCACTTATGAATATCCTGAAATGTAGATGTATGTATCCCTGTACCAGACTAGTCCTGTATGTTTTATTGAAACCTGCCTCCCCATTTACCTGTCAGGAATCTGGCTGTGAAAGATTTATTATATACATGCATTAGTATAATTTTGTCTGCCCTCATCTGCAGAATGGGTTCTGCCTTCATGCTCAAAGACACACAGGCATGCCCACACTTTTCAGATTTGAACTTAATTGTCCACTACAAAACGCCGAAGTTCAGCCAGTTTTGTGATCCATGGTTGGTATAGCAATGGGCAATGCTATATTTCCAACTTATGTGAATACAGATACATTCATTTTTTATTGTGCATCTTTCATCTAATAGATATGGGATATGACTCTGTGTAGCCCAATGAAAGTCGCCCGACGTTTCGGAAGAACATTCCGCCTCCATCTTCAGGGTCGAAAAATAAGCCAGGCAAGAAACTAGCAGGTGGCAAGCACAGCACATAATCCACAGAGTTCATGTAGCAGTCTGTATAGTGACAGGTTTCCAGGCTTAACTCTGGACCTCTGGACTCCAGTAACACATATCAGTTTGCTACCAAAAGTCACTGTCTGCATAAATCTGGCTAGATGAGTATAAACCGCTGTAGAAAATGCAGTTCATGCACACTAATGGAGATCGGGTAAAATACTTTCTTTAACATCATTGTACGAAACGTACGAAATTTATACTCTTTGGTTTCCACTGAATTGCTGCTTTTGTTATCTTTGTAGGCATTTCTTAGTATGTAGCCACAGACCGTAGTTACCGTAGTTAGTTACCGTGTTTCCCTTTCACCTATCTCACAGTAAGAGACAGGTTCCACGTCTACTACTCGTACTTACTGGCAAGAATTATGGTAGTGCAGGAAGATACGTCTGTTGAAATTAAAATTGAAAATCATGAGGAATTTGTTGATTCCCATGCAGAACCGGAACCTGTCTTTACCGTTGAAAGTATCCTTTTTAACACGTTTAATAAGCTGTGGATAGCGCGTAAACGTGATTATATGTTTGTCTATTCCATATGCTTCGATGTAACATAACCTATACATTGTAATAGTAATAATAATAATATTTTTATTTAACATTCATCACAGTTACAAATTGTAGCTCTCGAACAAGTGACATACATATACAACTTTTGCAGTCTAATTGGCCTCCTGGCTAATCGATTGAACGTCGTATCACATAACATAACATGCAGGTACAATTAAAATCACACCCTCGGTATAATTAAAATATATTAGGTACAAATAAATTTACGACTACCTTCCATTATCAAAAACAAGGTCATATTATTATATTTATCTTAATTACCGCCGTCATGTTCTTAAACTTAAAACCTATTATATCAAAATAATCCACAAAACAAAATTCAATTCAGATAATGATGAAATAATTTGGAGTGTAATCTCTTTTTAGACTTCCATTCCCTTTATAGGCCGAATCATATTAAAAACTTTACCTAATTACTAATCATTTTATTTATGCATAAATCTATTTATCAAGGAGAATCTTATTCATTTAACTGTCCTTCTGAGAGGAACTCGTGCAAATTATACAATGGGTGTTCCAGTAAATATCTTTTGAGTCTATGTAGGAATTCTCTTATCTGCTTTTACCATTCTTAGTTCCAAAGGCAGTCTATTATAAAGCTTAATAGCCATATTTGTAACGCCCTTCTCATATGTTAAGGTATTATAACTTTACACGTGAAGGTTTTCTTTCTTTCTCATGTCATACGTATGTAGGTCAAGAGTTTTTTGTGGTGTAAATGTTATATTTCTTGAAATAACATAACACCTCCAAAATATACAAAGATGTCACCGTTAAAATTTTTAATTCTCTAAATATAGGTCTACATTATCTTTTTGTTACCCCTTTTATTATTCGAAGAACCCTTTTTTGTCTGCACCATAATTGTACTTAGCGTTTTTGACTCCATAAGGCTGTGTAAATTATATTAATTTTCCTTAATTTGTACTAGTCCTCAAAATCATCAAAGATGCCCAGCAACAACATGGGTTACGTCATAGTGACTATCAGAGATACAGGTTTGTATGTTTATTCACACAACTTGGTAGCATTAGCGTATTAAGTCCATAGTATTATAGTGTCCATTATTAATTTAATACAGTACACTTTTAAGTTGGACGTTATAATGTGTGAACAAAGATTGCTTCCTAAGTCTAGGTTAGACTGTTTGGATCTTTATATAACATGAAAATACCTGCCCACTTGTAAGAAAATATATGATTCAATTCGGCGAAAAACAATGTAAGATATAATTAGACCGAACTAATGGTGATTGAGTAGCACAGTGTTTCATGCTCATGAGGTTGTGTGTTGAAGGCTTGGCCAAGGGACTAGCTACCCAAACTTAAGGTTTTTAATTTCCCGTTCTTCTAGGAAAATTTAGGAATATCTCAAATTGTGCCGTGACTGCCTCCCACATACTTTCCCATTCATTATTCACTAATCATTTTGCCGTTTTACGCTATGTAATCAGAGCTACAGACAGCCTAGATAAATGTAAATAGTTTCAAATTATAATTTAATTCAAAGTACCCAGACAGTGTTCAAGTTATTACAAATGTATCTGCACAAAACACCTAGCAAAGATTGTACAAGTAAACATTCGTGTGTTCATTTTCAATACTTGCTGGCCTGAAGCAAAATAATGCTTTATCTACCACTGCTTTAATTTTGTTCTAGACTATGCAGTTATGAAAGAAGAGTGTGTGGATACACTTTTGTCCCTGCAGGCAAATACTGGGATAGTATCTAGATCCGGCCATTACTGCTTCCAACCAAATTTTTTCCAAATTATCGATACAGTTGACAATGTATGACCTAGCTAGTGAGAGTCATTAAATAGCCCACAAATAAATAACAGAAATTATCATAGAAGTCGGTAAAATATGTTGTGCAGTAATAAATTTCACTTTCACTTTATTTTAAATTCCATAGATCCTTTTCTGGTCACGCATGCCATAGGATATAGAACATGTCAAAATAGATAAACACATACATAAAAACAATGAACCCATCAACATGCAATACAGTCACAATACAAAATTTGTACATAAAATATTCAAATATGATCAAATTTATGCAGATATATGATTATCCTTGTCACCATCATAAATCAATACAAAAGAACTATTCATAATATGGAAGTTTGATGCAATTATTTCGATCACATAACTAAAAATACTTAATTTAGCAGTCCAAATACAGTACATTACATCAGGATTTAAAAATTAGAATGTACAATAAAAATTCAGTATATACAATGAGTCATTTCGTAGCAAGAACCTTAAAATTTGAAAACTATTTATTAACATATTCCTCTACCGGATAAAAGGAAATGAGTTGTGAGTAAACCATTCATGACCATCTTAATTGTATACAGTCACATGTTATTTAAAACAGATGGTCTGTTACAGTACCATACTACCATAAAATTTATACCCTTAAATGCCAAGCGACTAGTCAATGGGTAATACATCGTATGTAAAGTCAACCTAACAAACAATGCAAGAGAATATCTGGATTACAAACCTTTGTCTTCTTTATATTGAAAGTATTCATTTATAGGGTAAAAAGAATGATGACATAAAAACCTTTTTAATGTAAATTTAAAGCTTTTCTCATCATTGACCAAAATCTTTATTGATCGTGGAAGATGATTGAACACTTTAATACCTGTTATATAGGCTCCTTTATTAAATTTTGAAGTATTCACACTAGGTACGTGTAAATTACCTTGGGTTATAGTTGTATATTCATGAATCTCGTTATTAAAGTTAAATAAATGTTTATTATTAATTATATATAAAAGTAGTGAGTATATATACTGAGAATATAATGTCATAATTTCAAATTTCTGGAAAGACTCCCTGCAAGAATCTCTAGGTTTAGTGTTCGTTGCCATTCTAATAAGTTTCTTTTGCAAGATAAACACTTTCCTGGCATGTGAGGAGCCACCCCAGGAGATTATACCATAACTCATGATGGAGTGTACGTAAGCAAAGTAGATTGGCCTTAACGTTGCAAATGACACAATGTGTTTTCATGTGAAGCTAAAGATATGATATACTTGCAAGTCAGTAAAAATAAATCTGTAGATATAAATGTAAAAAAAGCTAAGTAAATAGCAATATTTATGCTGTGTGACCAACCTCTAGTATAAAATTATTTTAAAATGTGGCAGTGTTCAGGAGCTTAGGAATTTCATGGAGCTGAGCTCTTCTTGAGAAGCCACCAGTTGTTCAACTACTCAGTACTTTCCCAGCATTTTCTGGAATCTGAAGGTTCATTATCGTGTTCACAAGAGCCCGCCACTGGTCCCTATCCTGAGAGCCAGATCAATCCAATCCATACCATACCATCCTATCTCTCCAAGTTCCATTTTAATATTGTCCACCCACCTACATCTTGGTCTTCCTAGTGGTCTGTTTCCTTCTGGCTTTCCCACCAATGTCGTATATTTCTTCCTCTTCTGCTGCATTTGTTCTATATGCCCTGTCCACCTCATCCTCCTTGACTTGATCATTCTAATTATACTAACATATGGGCCCATATATACAGTCGTTTCTGTCTACTACTTGTACTGGATTCATTGATATAATTTTTATGACTTATATCAATGAATCCAGCACAGATAGTAGACAGAAATTATTGTAAATATGGGCCCATGTGTTACTTAAAATGGATGCAATTCAAAAACACTTGTTAAGTATTGTATGATGACCAGTTGGATGGTCGAAACATGTAGTGATTATTAATAAACAGTTGAATGGGTATACATTCTTAAGAGTCGCATAGACGGAACATAGCAATTAGATTAGGCTAATATTATGATGGACAGTAGGGAAGTGTGTGTGGTAGGCAATCTGATTTACATTAACCTTTTGAAGCCAGATGTTCATAATATTGAAAATTCTGTTCTTATCTCATAGAACACACACTGCTTTCCATTACAAAAACAATCCATTAATTTTTCTTTAGGAAATAATTCTTGTTTCCTTTGAGAATCATGAGGAACACATGGATGCACTCTCTGGGAACAGTGCAGAGTTTTTTTTTTTAACATTAGGGCATGTGCTCCATACGATAACTGTGTACAGAGTAGTAGGTATAGTTACTTAAGAGTTCATATGAAACTTTACTCCCATCTCTAACAAGTGTTATTGTTATAGAGGATATTGTTCTCGTCGGATCCGAAGACTAAGGAAAGTTTTACATGTCACACAAGGGGACAAGAGGCATTTTAAAAGAAAGGATGTTACAGAAGCCATGCTAAAGGATGAAAGGTACTAACAACATATACAGCTTTAAGTATAAGCTTTTGAATGAAGTTAAATTACATTGATTACTATGACTGCATAAAATAGTAAATTATTAAACTTTAGAAGTTATTTAATCGGGAAAAATCTGTCTCTACCAATACCATAAGCACTGTTGAATTATTTTGTCACCTTACATTGTGAAGTTACACTGTATTCCTTCAAGATTTTATAGAAGTGATTTAATATTTATCTGATTGATAACATGGGTATATAATATAATGGTTAAGGGATTGCTTCCATGTGAGTTACATTTTTGGTGTGTTAGCAAGGTTGGAGACTGCAATAACCACAAACAGTAAAGCATCGATTGAAGAAATTATTAAAGCAAGGCTTTCATGGTAATGAAATGTGCTTCAGTACTCTACAAAAAGCAATACTGACTTTCGGTTCCTGTCAGGAACATAATATTTCAAGTGTAAGTTTCTGTAAAAGTGAACTGAATCATAATTAAAAAGTTACATATACATGGTAAGTTAAAAACTGTATAGTTATAGAATCTGTAAGTTTCAGATCTCTTCCATTATTATTTTATATGTTTATGTTTTCTATTATTTTCATGGTAATGATATAAGCAGTAATAAAGGCAGAATACAGTGGTACAAATGGATGTGGGATTTATTTAGGATGTGGGGACATCCCACATAGCACGCTGTTTCCACCCGTCTTTTAGACAACACTCACTCCTTAGTGAATATCGCATTGCCGGACGTTTCATTCATATTTATACAAGCACGCACTGCAAATTTCCGCTCCTCATTTTCACTAGCCAATCAGCACTCTGCTCCTCAAATGCAAGTTTTGCTCCGCCCACCGAGCATGGTATAAAAGGCGGAGCCCAAAACTCGCAAGTGAGTGAACACATCCAGCTCAGCACGTTAAGCCATCAACTCTACACTGCGATCGGTCATCTGAGACATCAGCTCCTCACTTCAGCTCTAGTTGCCGCAGGCCTCCAGTGACCAGGCAACCGAAGCAGCAGCAGCAAGTCTCCAGCGAACGCATCTTCTGCAATCCCAGCAACCGGCCAAGCTAGCCGATTCTACCAGCACACACAGCACTGCCCCACCATCCAGACCAGCCAGCTAAACGGCCGTAAGACTCGGCCCACTACAGAGGAGTGAAATTGCGGTGGAACGAACTGACCCTAGAGGGCCAGCTAACGCTTGAACATTCCACATATATTCCATGTTCTGCTATTTTGTAAATTCAGTTCAAACAATTCAATATATATACAAGTGTTAAAGAGTTTCAAGTGGTTGTCATTTCAAAAATCAATGATCCCACAAGGATGTTAAAAGAATCTGCGATTAAAAATTCCTCACACAGTGATATATCTCGCCCATAATTGTAGAATTATTAAAATCCCTATTTTCCCCTCCACCTTTTCCTTTGATTGATCTGTATATCAACACTTTGCTGTCTGCTACCACACTGTTCACATGTGAACCTATATTATCCATTACCATTGAAAGGCATAATTGCATAAGGTGTACCTTGTTGTCATTTGTAAAAAAACAAATAGTCATTACAATGTAGTATATTTTTCTACATTGTTCCTTTTTCGACTTCTTACTTTGTTATAATTAATTTATGTATCCGTTTTGTCAGTATGTCTTTCATTATGAAAAAAGCTATACTACTTTTCACTGGGAGCTAGAATATGTAATAAATATCATGCATTATTCTTGTAACAATAGGTACCTATATATCCCCCTGATGATGGCAGAAAGAGCTTGGAGCTATGCCATGCAACTACGCCAAGAAGCCAACACAGAACCAAGGAAGAAATTCCATCTCATCTCACGTTTGCGAAAAGCAACAACATATTCTTTGCAGTTGCAGACACTATGTGAGGTAACTTTCTGTTTTCCTGCATATGATTGGTAACAAAGGAGCTGGTATATCCCTCTTACTGCTGACCCCATTGTTACATGCATTCAAGAATTATTAGGCTATTTTGTAAACATTTAATAATACAATAGAAAGAGTTATGCTTAATGAAAGAAGCAAGAAGTATTGCAAGTAAAATACAGTTAACTTTTGTTACTACAAACTTTACATTGAAAAGTAATGTAATTTACATTTGATTAGTCCCCAACCAAAACTCTATAATTGCTTGATGATAGACATTTTAGTACTACTATTATTTATTTCATCCATAGCTATAGAGAATTACAATTGGACGTGTCAGATATTAACAACTTCACATCAAAAATAACATAACATTCACACCGTGATTTATCACTATAACACAGCAGTACGTTTTAAAATACACCTTTAACTTAATATAAGAATAGTAAATACTCGAAAAGAGACATGAGAATAAATATTTTAAACATATAGACAGATTTATTAACAAGCAGTCTATGTCATCAATTATCAATAATAGCAAATACCCCAAAAAAAAGGCATAAAATAGACAGACAGACAGATTTATTAACAAGCAGCCCATGTCAACAATTATTAAAAAATTCTTGAAGAGAATAGAAGACATTACACAACAAATAATAATAATAATTTTGCCTACACACAAGCTAGACATTTTTATGGTTTTCCAGCGCTCTCCCAGAGTCAGTGGTAGGACAGTACCTTAATGTGGGCTGTGATCACTTCTTTCTGCCCCCTTTCCAGTTCACAATCATTCTCCCATTTCACTGTATGCAATTGGGAAAGCATCATTAAGTAAACTAAGAAACACGCAATGGCTGTGTAAAACCTCTTTGAGGGTACTTTGCACAGGCAACCATTTGGAAGAAATGTGTTCAGCAAGGTCTCTGGTAGGGTGAGTTTGGTTCTCATTGTATGTTAAAAATAGAATCTAATGATGTACGTCATCTGATGATGATCATCTGATGAGATTTATTAGACACAGTATACACAGATGAAAAGTCACATGATTATTTAGGAGAACATAACAAAATAATTATGGTGAGGAACCCATAGGAATTAACATAATTAATGTAGTGTTATTTTTACTGTCATTTTAATCTTGAAGAAATATGACGTTAAGGCATCTGTCATCATGTTCGTTACAGAATGTCAGTGCACTGCATGATCTAGGTCCCTAACTGTTAGGGATGGGTTAATAGTGAAATTTATATATTAAATCGTAATTTAAAAGAAAACCTAGTAATGAAATTACTTCTGAGAGACTTAAATTTTTTAAACATAGCTGATTATTTTTTACCAATATGGTGATCATGTTTATTGGCGTGTTACAGAGTAACAAGTGTGATGCTCGCACTAAGTTGGAGGCGCAGGCATATGTGGCATGGATCCATGGTTCCCTTCATTTTGAGCTCCAACTGTGGAAACCTGCAATGGAGAACTTGAAGAAGGCACAGTAAGTACTTGTCATAACTGAATAAGCCCATGAAGCAGAACCCTTCTTGAACTTCTGGTAATTGCTGACCTGATTAGGAAATTTTCCAAATTTTATGGAATCCAAGGATTCATCACTGTGTTTACTTGGTCCTTCCATGTAGTAATGGTACTAGCATTGAAAAAAAAAATGTAATGTGTCTATCTTCAGATATATTCTTGTAGAAAGTCAATGGTTTGTCTTTGATAATTCTTATGACAATCATTTTATTTAAGCGTGTATTTTATTTGTGGTCATTGTCTGTGTTTGAAATGTCTTAGGTCAGTCTTCCTTATATGCATGTCTCCCATTTCTGTCACAACTACACACACACACACAAGTGAACTTTATTTATTTTGGTCTTCCTTGTGATTCTATTAGACAGATCTTTGAAAGGGTGTAAATGAATGTTCATATAGGATAACCTTTCCAATGCACCTTTAATTAATTATAAAATTATGAGCCTAATCAAAGTACAATGTATATGTACTTCTTAATTTATAATTCACAATTATCCTAACAATAATTGTATCTATAGTATTAAATTCTTTTATAGAAACAGGCAACAATCTTAATTCTGCTTTGATTTATTCTTGTATTTCAAAACTATTTGTGTTGATGTATATCTGCATTGCACTGTAATCTTCCAATTTGAAATACCACTGATTTTGATACGGATATTGTGTTGCTTGTCACCAGGATGGTGTACGAAAAACTGGCACTTGCCCTTCCAGAAGGTGAGCAGTTATTGTACAGATCTCGTGTAGAGGAACTGTCTCCTAGCCTCCGATTCTGTGCCTATAATATTGGTGATGAAAGTGCCATTGATGATTTGCTACAGATGAGAAGCCATGCCCAAGGAGATCTCCTTGCCAATTTAGATGTAAGATCACGTTTATAATTTTCATGTATGCAATGTAATGATAACAGAATGAGTGTGGCTTATAATAAGAACTTCATTATACAAACAAAATAATTGGTGCTGCCAATTTCTCAACATTACGCACAGTAAGATCTCACTAATTCAGACTAATTGCGAACAAACCCTTGTCCAGATGAGTGAAAGTCGAAATTACAGAAGTGCTACTTAAAATATGTTCAGGGTAGTTATTTTTGGACTTCACATTTTTTATGCAATACAACTTTATTTTGAAACTTAGATTACATATCATAAAATAAATTTACTTGTCATAAAGTGTAAAAATGAAGATTTGACATTAGTCATGGGAGTGGATACGCGCACAGTAGAAGAACTGTTGGAAATGGTGTTTTCTGTGCAGTTCAAGCAGAGACCATATAACAGGGACAGCAGCTGGTTAGTACTCATAGTTACTTGAGAGTTAGTTGTCATCAGTAGTCATTGACAGCCAGTGGTAGCCACTGGTAGCCAGAGAATAGATAGTCATGGTCGCATGTTGTGGCCATGAATTAGTTGTATGACGGTAGACGGCCAGCAGTGACATGGGCACAGAAGCAGAGAAGAAGACATTGTTGGGAGCAGTTACCAGGCACCAACTAGTGAAGGTATAGAAGACTTTAAGAGCGCTGCACTTACAGTGCTTTGTAGACTGCATAGATCCATGAAACTGTTATAGTTACCTGTAGTACTATTACTAATAGAACTGTTTATATTTCTGTCATTTTATTTTATATTTTTTTACTTATTTGTCTTTTATATATGTACCACTTGATGTGTTCCATATCCTACCTGTTGTTATGGAATGTAAAAGAAATGAATGAACGAAAAGTTATGAGTTATATGTTTTCAGTAAATCCAGTTATCAACCCAAACCTCATGTCTAGTCACCAAGACATATCAATATTTCTTAAACTTCCCCTATTGTTTTAGGCCCTGATGGTACAAACACAGCGTCGATCTGAAGTTCTTTGTGACATAGAATGGCATGGTCATATTGTTCCTGTGCGACCGGAACCTGTAAGGGGTTTCCTGTTATCAGAACAGCAGTTGGACACCTCACTGGGACGAGCAGCAGACAATGCAGCAAAGATTACGCTGCTGGAGACACTTCTTATGGACTGCAAGGATGCCATTGCTACTGTCAAGGATGAACTGAAGACAGATCCAGTAAGTAAATGTTTTATACCAGTACAGATATTTCTTAAAGAGCAGGTTTGGATATAGGGACTAGCTCTGTCAGTTGGCCCCAACTAAGTAAGCTTTTTACCTGAGTATGAAGCAGCCTCCGTAGTCTAGAGGTAACGTTCCCACCTCATGACTCGTAGTACGCGGGTTCAAATAACCGGCGGAGGTCGT